TTGCATTGCAGCTTTTGTGTCCCCTTTGACAATGGTTCTCTGCTGCTTGTTTTGAAACTAGAAAAAAAAACGTCCTCTGCAGTGCACAGTAAACACGAACTACCAAACTGAGCTGTTTAAAACCTCTGGCACTCGAAGAAACACCGCTTATACTGTTTCTGGTAACTAAATTCAAAACCAGATTGGTGAAAGTTTAAATACACAAAGAGGAAAAGTGTCATGTAAATTTAGAAAGTAAGTGACCTAGTTCTACAAGCTCTTGTTAGTGACAAAATGCAGTTACTGCCTAAAGCATCTAAGCGCCATCCACTGTCCTCAGGCCACGCAGCCTTTGACTTCCAGCTCTGCCTGTGCAGGGGCTGCAGGTGACCCCTTGTGAAAAGGATGTTTTAGCTAAAACAGGACCTCAGACTCTTGAGCCTGACCGAAAGGGAAGGGGGGAGTGAGGAGAAGGGAGGGGTGCATTGAGAGGTGGGAGAAATCACAGTAAACTATTTCCTTTTCTTAAAAGTCCAGCAATATTAAGCAAGTGAATGAATAGTAGCTCTTGTATTAATGACTTGATACGAATGACCTAAAATAAATTGTAAAAGTTGATACTGGAAAACTAGATATGATCAACCAACATACACACAGATGAGTATGTGTGAAAGTGAAAGGTATAGGAAACTGCTGGGAGCATGGATTCAAAACATTTCCATTGTCTAAAAACCCACCTCTGGAATTTCTCGAGACTTACACTACCAGCTCTTCAGAAGGAAAAAAAAAGAAAATAAAAATGTGGCAACGAACGTTGTTAAAAAGGAGGGAAACACCCCAAGCAGTCTGCACACCCTCAGGTCCAAAGGAGCCGCCGTCGCGGCGGCGCTCAGTCCATGCTGGGGGGCACGGCGCTGCTGCTGCTGGCCTCCAGCAGTTCCACCACGGCCGCCCGGCGGTACAGCTTGGCCAGGTCGTAGGCGGTGTTGCCGCGCTTGTTCTGGTGGCCCACCTTGCACTCGGAGCGCGCCAGCAGCAGCTGCACCACCCGCACGTGGCCCTCCTGCGCCGCCAGGTGCAGCGGCAGGTTGCCCTCGTTGTCCTCGATGTTAACGTCGGCTTCGAACTCCAGCAGAGTCTGCAAAGTGTCCAGAAAGCCCTCCCTGGCTACGTCGTGGATGACAGCGAAGCCGGTACTGTCTCTCAGGTTGGGGTTCGCCCCGTTGCTGAGCAGCCGCCGGGCGATTTCGGGGTTGCCGAGTTTCATCACCTGGGAAAGAGAGAGGAGAATTGGATACCGCGGGTGGGGGTTTGCTCCAGCACTGCCTCCCGTCCTCCTGCTCAGCCCTGGATTTTGTCAGAGCCCAGTTCTCATTTAAAGCAGACAGAGGAGACTCGCTCCAGAGCTAATGACACACCAGAACGTCTCGTTTTCCATGTATTTGTTACTGAACTCGGTGAAATTGTGAGAGATGTTATCATTTCGGTGGTCATAGCTTTCTGCTTCGGAGAGGTTAATGCCTGCAATAGCACAGAATGGCATATAACAGCTTCTTTTTTTTTTTTTTTTCCCTAATGAGGATCATCTCAGTTTCTGAACATATAAAAATTAAGTATAGTTCGATTTTATTTGCCTAAGTATTGAGACACCTCTGCATTACTGTTTAATCTTGTTAAACAGCAAATATAGGGTCTCTGAGGAACAGATATTTTACCTAAGCAACAGCAAATGTAGAATGTGTTTTTACAAGCTTTCAGGTGTTTACATTGTCTGTGCATTATCATAAAACAAATATTTGGACTATACCATAGCTCTATCTGTTGAGAAACATAAATGTTAAAAGAAATTCTTCTCCCCAATATTTGTGTTTCATTAGGTCACCCAAAAAGGAAAAATCAAAAGGAATGTTTCAAAGTTACAGAAATTGTCTTCTAAAATCAATATATTATATTGTACTTTCACAACCTTTCTATAAGTAAACTGTGGCTATGTTCTGTTGTTAAAACATCCCTTGAAAAAAATATACAACAACAACAACAATAATTGGATTTTCTGACTGTTTTACTCAGGGAAAAAAAAAAAAAAAAGAGCTTCTTTCAAATTTTCTCAATTGCACCATAAAACTATCATAATTAGAACACAAATCTCTCTTATTTGTAACTTAACTGCCTGCACCGATTTCCTTGTAATTCCTGATTTTTTGTTTGCACACTTTCCAAAAATGAACACTGTAATGTATATTGTGTAATCTCTAGCCTATAGGCAGTATTTTCCTGTCCTTGTAACTAATCTCATTGTAAGTACAAAATTCGAAAAAACCCCAACTCTTTTATATTTCCTCAGAGAGAGATTCACACATTGATTTGAAAATCTTGATTAATTAAAAAAAAAATCAGCATAAACGAGCATTACAGTGCATTAGATTTAGCTTAAGGTACAACTTCTACAGAGGTTTGCTGAAAATCTCTCCTGACGAAAAATACATATCAAGTTTTTTAAGAAAAACAAGGTATAATAAATACATTTATGTACAGCGTTTGAAGTGTAAAGCAGCCCAGCACATTATAACCACAGACAGGAGCAAAAGTGCAGATAAGACAGGCTGGGATTCAGGGAAAGAGATCTCTCTGTGCCCCAAGGCTTCCAGCTCCCGACTTCCAGCCAGTTCTTTCACTTCTGACAGAGATGGAAGCGATGTAAAAGAAAACAAGATCATTGTGATCTCTCTTTGTTTAGTAAAAACCGGACATTCTGATCTCTTTTGGAGAGCCCAGGCTGTATTATTTGTGAATTCAAAACATATATTTGGGTTAAGTGGGAGTTTTCACTGTTCAGGCCAGGGGACTGAAGGCTTCAGTTAAAGATGCGAGGGGGAGAAAATCCAAAAAAAGGTGGTGCTTTTTGGCCGTGGGCTACAGCTGAACAGCAAATGCCTCCTATATTTTGCAAAATAATGTTAGGGGGGAGGGAGGACAAGAAGTAAAAAGCATTCATTTAATAAATCTGACAAAGAGCATAAGGGCAGGAGATGTATTTGAGGCCTGCATAGGTACACTTCACCAGAAATAAAAAGGACAGAGCAAGACAAGCCGAGTAGTTGTTTAATTAAACATAAATGCAGAGGAAAAATATAAATTCATTGACATTAATATAGGAGCATTCTCTCCGTTGTAATTGAGAGAGAGATTACAGAGAGATTATCTCACTCTTGCAGAGTGCACTGAGAGAGAAGTCTTTCGAGTGTGGCCAGGCACCCACAGCACATTTTAGGATGATACATATTGAAAATAAGTCGGCAGATTCTCCTGTTTTGGTTTTTGTGGTGGTTCATTAGCTCGGTTGCTATAATCCCTAAGAAGTATTGTTAGGGCGCAGATGCAGCTGGATGCTATGTAATTGTGTAAAATATACCTTAATTCAGGATATGGACAGTTAGCTGCTTTTAGGAAAAAATATCCAGCATTCCTGTAGGACAAATCAGTTTTCAGCCCCCTTGTCCCGAGGATAAATCAACTAGCTAAATGTTTCCTGCTTTCTTAAAGAATTTAGCTTGTCTAAGTTTTTAATTTAAACCCTTTCACTCTCTTTAAAGTTGCTGCAAGTGTCTGCACTGCCATGCGATGCCCTATTTAGGTGTTAACAGGACAGCGAGGAGCTCACAGATCTCCAGCTTCAGCGAAATTATCAAAAAAGGGTCATTCCTGCATTATCAGCAAGAGGTGCTTATTTTCCAGCTTTAACATTTTGATGTTAAGCCAAAAATCTGTAAATATCTCGAGTACACTCACAGGTTCTATGCTGTCTAAAAATCCACTTTCAGAAATTATTACCATGGTTTTGGGGGAAGGGAGAAGAGGGGTTAAAAAACAATTTTACTAATGTGCGAAATGAAAAAGACCTATAGCTCCACTTCCACATTGTATTACTTATAACTTAAGTAAAAATAGCCACACTTATTTTCCCTCTGGAATTATAAATCACATATTTCACTATTTGGAAGGTATTCTAGCCTTTTTGCCATCATTATCTGATAATATTAAAAGCAAAATCTTTCATCAGCTACAATACTTAGCAGTTGGACAAGTTCCAACTCCTGCCTGCACAACTATACAGTTAAAAATTAGGACACAGCACCCTATACGATCAGAAAGGAAATAAATGGAAGCAGTGCCCTGCTAGCCGATCTGAAAAAAGCAAATATTAAAGTTTTGGATATGAATGAAAAAGCAAGTGATTCAGCTGGAACCCTGGCTCGCAGGGCTAGCTCTTAATGTACATCGGAGGTCCTCGCTTCTGAGCAGCATGATCATTCCCACAAACAGAGCATAAAGGAAAAGTACCATCCACAGCAGACCCCAGCACCCAGACGAGCCACGCTTTAAAAGCACATTGCAGGAAAACAAATAAAAAGAAAAAAAAAAAAAAAGAAGGAAGAAAAAAAAAAGATAAAAATCCTAAGCTTCAGAGAGAACAGAACATTTGTGTTTACAGACCTGCTATGAAATCCTGCTCACCTAAGCTGATTTCTTTCCATCTCAGCTGTCTCACTCCTTGCCTCTTCCCCACGAAGTTAGCAAATATTAGCAAACTGGTAGCCCGTTTGACATTGAGGGTGATCCCCGATTGAAAGAATGGTTTTGACCAGTTTTATTTCAAGTACGTCATTTTAGGGAGTTGGAGCCACTAAACTTATAAAATATGGCATCCAACGAGTTTGAAAAACCACTCGAATTTCATCCACCAGCCTGCTTAAAACGTTGTCTTTTTTGGAAACCCGGGTCACGTAGGTACCAGTGATGAAATATTTTCTCCCTCTCTGGATACCAACCTGCAGCGCAGTCCTCCCAAATCCATTTTGTGCATTGACGTTTACATTCTTTTGCAACAAATTAGTAAGTTGCACTAGGTCCCCCTTGGCAGCCGCGGACGCCAGCTCGTTCCCAGAAGGCTCGGCCATTCTTTAGGGTGACTGACGATCGGAAAAAAGATGAGATTTTTTTTTTTTTTTTTTTAACCAGGCATGGCATCGGAGACTGACAGAAGGATTGGGATGGTTAATCTTCTGGAGTAAGACCTTGTAGTAAATACTCGTAAAAAACCTCCTTGCCAAGAGCCCGCCCCTAACTCACACGTGATTATTCAGCAAAACTGCAGCTCCACTTGAAGCAAGATTTCTTTGCTTCCACATATAGAGTAACTCTTATTAAAGACTTTGGCCACTTTCGCGGGGGGAGGGGGGGAATAGATTAACAGCTAGGCAAGATATTGTATATGTTATAGGTAACATATATACACGTACACCGGAGACTCACTCAGACCCGAGATCTTGGAAGAAGAAGACAACCCACCCTGTTCACAGCCGGTTTCTGAAACTTAGCAGCAGCAGCAGCAGCTCGGAGGAAAGGTCTCCTGTAGCAGTGTGCATCCAACTCCCGCTCGGGATCCCCCCCTTCATCCCTCTCCGTCGGCTTAGTCCGGGCCCAGCAGGGAAGGGAAGGACGAGCCGCGCCCGCGGAGGGCCGGGCGCGGCGGCGGCGGCTGTCCGGGCTCCCAGCTCGCTGTCTCGGCGCTCTCGCTCCCCGCAGCAGCAGCAGCAGCAGCAGCAGCTTCACTCCCGCGGCCCCGCGCAGCCTCCGCGCAGCGGGCGGGCGCGATCCCGGCCGGCGGCCGCCCCCGGCGGCGGCGGCTCCGGAGCATCCAGGAGGGCGGCGGGCGGCGCGGGGGGGCTGCCGCGAACCGCCGCCCGCGCTCAGGGCGTGGAGGAGCCGCGGCGCGGAGCCGTCTCCGCCGTCGTCCCTCGGCCGGGGTCTCTCCGCCGGGGTCCCGCCGCCGCTGTCCGCGCTCCGCCGGGCGCTCCCCGGGACAGGCGCTGCTCCCGCCGCGGCCGCGGGGCGCGGGCAGAGCTCCCGGCGGGGGCAGGGGCTGCGCTGGTGCCGCCGCTGCCCCGGCCCGGCCGCGCTCGCAGCCGCACTGACAGCCCCGCTCGCCTCCTCTTCCAACTTCGCGAAATAAAGCTGCACTTGCCGGTCCGCGGCCGCCGCCTCCGCCCGCGGCTTTGCGCTCCCCCTTTTTTAAGCGCAAACAATCGCTACTTCTGTTTCCTAAGGACACGAAGCCGGTTTCTCTCTCCTTTTTTTTTTCCCCTTTTTTTTTTTTTTTTTTTTTTTTTTTTTTTAACCTCATCAGCTTTTTTTGAAAAGAAAAAAAATTTGAGCGCTTTTTTGAGTTGAAACACCCGCCCACATTTTAACGGCAGAGATTTAAGGAGGCGCGGCGGAGTTCGGGCAGGAAGGCCTGCAGCGGCTCCCGCCCGCCCCTCGCCCGGCCCCGCCGCGCTCCGGCCGCCGCCGCAGCTCCGCGGCGCCCGGTGCCGTCCCCTCGCCGCGCAGCCCGGGCACGGCTCCGCCACGGCCAGCGCGGCCCGGCCGCTTTTAGCAGCAGCGCTGCTGAGGCCTAGGGGGGGAAAATGAAAGGAAAAGGAGGCTGTAGCAGCGGGAGCCGCCGCACCCCGGCGGGAGGAGCGGGATCGGGGGCGCTGGGCAGACGGGAGGGCCGCGGCGCTGCCCGGAGCCGCTCCCCGGCGGTCCCCACCTGCCCGCGGGGGGAGCGGAGCCGGCTCCGGTGCCGGTCCCTGCCCCTTCGCCCTGGCTCGGCGCCCCGCGGGCAGCGGCTCCGCGCTCGGGCCGCCCCGGCAGCGGCGCGGGCTCCTCTCCCGTCCTGAGGACAAGGTCAAGGATGAAGGGTCAATGTCAAGTTGTCTTAGCGGTGGAAGGCGATCGTCCACGAGAGCGCTCCTTGCTTCCCGCGTTTCTGGTGTCCTTGATTGATTCGAAAGTGCCATTTTGAAGGGGAGCCGCGCCCGGGCATCAAGAAGACGCGAGGACTTCGCTTTCCCTTCCCAGGGCGAAGAAGTGAGGATGGTACAGGACGGGGATGTCACCGCCACTCTGCCTAACAGTGTTTAGTGTCTTAAAGTGCTTTAATGGCTGGATTGCTTTAGGTTTCAGGGAGCCTCGGAGGACTGCGTTCTGCCAAGCGAACCCTCCGAGAGGTAAGCAGCGATGTCATGGCTCCCTGATAAGCACGCGTAACCCATCGCTCGCAGGGGCAATCTGCACGTCTGTTTTCTGCGTGGACGCCACGGGAAAGTGATTTTTGAATGTAAACAGGCGAGACAGCTCGGGGAGGTGCGTTCGGGAGGGAACCTGCGGTGGGTGCAGCTCCTGCAGCGCTGCCCTGCGGGGGAACCTGCGGCCGGCAGCCGGGCCGGGGCCTGAGTCGGGGCGGCCGCCGTCAGACACAGCCGGTTCTACAGCCGTGGATCTGCAGCTGAACGAAGCCAGACTCCTGCATCTGGCTTTCCTCTCAGCTTCGGTTGCGTTTTGCTTTGCAGTTGTATTTTCCTGTACTGATTCCCCCATCCACGCTTGTTTGCGAGCGTTACAAAGGTGACAAGTGAGCTGCCTACACACGAAGCAGGGAAAACAGCTTTGTTCAGTTTACCAACTGACCCTCCACTCCTATTCTCACTAAAGGGGAGAAAAACTACGTGTATTTTAAGGGCCTCATTGTGGTAATTCTCGTCCAGAAGCAGTAGTGCTTTTCTCCCCTCCTTTTCCCCCGTTTTTTAAAAGCGAAAATGTAAATTATAACTTCCCTCAAAGTTAGCTCTAGAAATATATGTATGCAAGTAGCATCTGTTTATTCAAATACAGTCGCTTTTCTGCATAAAGAGGGAATTTACATGTAAAACTTGGATTATTCAGTCAGATGGCTTATAAATTACTTATTTTGTGACTAATTACTGCCTAAAATCCACAGGCTTTGGTGGTGTTACCTGTTGCTAACTTAGTGCAAAATTAGACCTGCAAATATTACAAGTCTCACACTATTTGTTTGTTGGTTTATGGTTCAGAATAAAGCTTCCATCTTCTGTTAATCACGCCACATAGCAAAATAATTAAGTAAAGTGTAGCTGTAGTGCTGCAGGCCTCCTGCAAGTAAAGCTGCCTGGCCAGAAAATGCCACCAAACTTCCTCTGCTGTGCAGGTCTGTCAAAAGTCTTTGCAGAAAGCAGTTCGTTAATCCTGATCATTTCCTCTCACGAGTGATAGAGATACTCCACCTAAAACAGAGAGATTTGTCCCGATCGGCTCCAGAATCAGCAGAAAAAAAACCAAGGAAACCAGCAACAAACAACTTCTGGAGGGAGATATTATCACCGGGCAGTATAAGGAGTAAAATAATCTGCTCCCTAATTTGTCTCTCACTCGTTGGAGGAAAAAATCCACCTCGAATGGCTCAGAGAGGCTGTGAGAAGGCAAACAGAAACTTAAGCTGTGACTTGAATGTGAACTTCCTGAGATGTGGGGCACGTGCAGCTTTTCACCTTTTCTTCATGTTCTGGATCAGATCCTTCCTGTTTTGATCTAATATAGATATCATTATTTAAAATATGACTGTAATAGACATGAACGCCGTGGAACTAATCTTGACAACATACCTGCAGCTTCAGTTTGTGCCAGGAATGAATTGGCTTTAATCCAATTGCTAAAACTCGCTTTTCAGCCTTTATTATAGTTACTCTCTAGTAATGTGTGGGTGGATTTGTTTGTAATTTAGCATAGGCTGTCCCTGGCATTGCACCATACCTTCTACTTAGTACAGAACTGTCTGTAGCATCAAACTGGGGGGTAAAAAAAAAAAAAGGTGCAGGTGTGAGGGCAATTAATTTATCATCCCTCCGGTCGCTGGTGGGGAGCTCGCATTGTTAAGCTCACGTCAGCGGGCAATAAAACCCTTTTGGTGAGCCCTGCCAACACAAGCTAGAGCAGGAACACGGTAAAAGGTAAAACCCCAGCTTCTCTGACACTGTGGCTTCGCATCCTAAGTGGCGTTTCCGTGCGGCCTCAGCCCGCCCGGAGCGCCGCCGCTGTCAGACAGCCCAGCCCAGGCAGCAGCGGCCGCAGCAGGCTCTAAACCATCCCCGGGGCTTCTCTGGGCATCTCGGGTCCGCAGCAGGCTCTAAACCATCCCCGGGGCTTCTCTGGGCATCTCGGGTCCGCAGCAGGCTCTAAACCATCCCCAGGGCTTCTCTAGGCATCTCGGAGCCTCCTGAAGGCACAGCCGAGCTCCCCTCTCCGCACGCAGCGCTTGTCCGCGGTGGCGCCGCTCCCCCCGCAGCTCGCCCCGGGGGCTGGCAGAGTCCACAGAACCCCCTGCGACCCCGCGGATGGACCGGACGAACAATAAAGAACGCTGCTTCCTACACCCGGCACAATATCTTGATTCAAAGGTGTCCTAATGTAGCGTTGTTAGCTGACGGAAAGCTGCTGGGTGCGCCCGTGACCTCAGCTACGACACGCACAGGACACTTGAAGAAGCAGAGCAAAATATAATTAGCAAATTGGCGTCCAAATGTGTGTTTTGTGTCGGTGCTATGGGGCTACATGAACATCAGGTTGTAGGAGGCAGACTTATAAAGCATCATTAGATTTGCATTACTCAAAGCAGGTTTATTTGCGATATATAATATAATTGCATCTTACAGTGCTGCTGGAGTGCTAAGCCTGAGCGAGGGCCGCTGTGCTGGTCACGGTGTGCTGGCTCACAAAAACCTGCGGAAAATGCATTTTCTTCTCTTGAGCCAAGTCGGAACCCGGGGGCAGTGTCGCCGCTCCCCCGAGCGCCGGGCGGTGCGGAGCACCGGGCGGGCACCGCGGCCGGGGCAGCCGAGGGGACGCGAACCGCTGCATCCAGCGAAACCAGGGCGATCACGGGGCGCGGATGGAGGGAGAGGGGCAAGGACGGATGGATGGACGGACGGATGGATGGATGGATGGACGGACGGACGGACGGATGGATGCCCCGCTCCCGCACAGAGAGGCAGGGCCGCGCTCCGCCCGGCAGCGGCAGCGGCCCGCGTTTCCCCGCGCCGCCCGGGCACGGCTGCAGCCGCTCCCCTCAGAGCCGTTAGGCCGCAGCCGCCGGCGGAGCCCAGCCCGGACACCTCGCGCCGCGGCCGGGCCCGGGAGCCGCCAAGCCCCGGCACGGGACGTGAGGCTGTGTCCGCCCCGCTACGGAGCTCCGGCCGGGCCGGGGCTCCCCGCTCCGCTCCGGTGCCGCCGGGTCCCGGTCCCGGCTCGGTCCCGCCCCCGGCTCCGGGAGCGCTTGACAGGCGGGCAGTCACGTGGCGGCCGCAAAGCGCCTCTTTGCGACCTCAATGACAGGCAAAATGTGCGACACAGGCGCTGTGGAGGCAGGCGGGGAGCGGCGCTGCCTCCTCCTCCTCCTCCTCCTTCTTCTCCTCCTCCTCCTCCTCCTCCTTCCCGGGCCAGCGGCTGAGGCAGCGCTGCCCGCTCCCGGCCCCGCGCCCGGCCCGCCGCTCTCCTGCCTCCTCCCGTGCCCGGCCCCGGCAGGGGCAGCCCGGGGGCGCCGCGGGAGCCCGAGCGCAGCGCGGCGCCTCCATGAGCTCCTGAGCTCCCACCCTGCCCCGTCCTCCCCGCGGCAGCGGCTCCAGGTGCGCGGGTCCGAGCAGAGCCGGGACGCAGCTGGCTGCAATGGCGTCCAACATGGACCGAGAAATGATATTGGCTGATTTCCAGGTAAATTTCAAGCCGCCGCCACACAGCCGTGGCCTCTCGCTGCTTTTCTCTTTCTCCTCGTTGCTGTGCTGCTTGTTCTTTGTGGGGAGGTCCGGGCTGGTGGGTGTGAAGCCCACCCTCTGAAGCCTCCGCTCTCGCTTTCCTTCTTTTTTTGTTTGTCAGAAACGGGGAGCGTGTGCCCTCTTCTCTCAAGGTGCGTGAACAAAATGTCTCCTTTAACTTAGAGAGTTTCAGTTTTTAATTAATAAAATAAAGCTTTTTCATCCACTTCGCTCGTTCCTACCCTCTGCATCCACCCAGGCCCTGGGACAGCTGTGAGGCAGCTCACTTGGAAGAGGCAAATGCCAGGGAGGATACAAAACTCACCAGTCCACATGATTTGTCACAGTGTTTGTAGTGAATCACTTGCTGGTGCTACAGATTAGTGCTGAACAGAGGTGTTTCCATTCCAGCATCAACACTAAACTCCATGGTTGCCTCAGCCTATGACTGTTGTGATGACGGTAAAACTCTTCCCACCCCATTCCAAACAGCAGCGTGTTTGTGTGGAAGGGAGGAATATCCTCTTCCGAGTTGTTTGTTTCCTTTCCTTCTCTCTATAAAAGGGTTGTAATTTAACTTCAGACTTCTATATCTTATCCCCAGAATAAAGTCTTTCTGTAAGTGGAAGTGATGTGTTTAGGAGCGTATATTGCTTCTTAATATTGCTTGTTTTATATTGCTTTCCTAAGACCAAGTAAAAAAGTGGAGGATACCTGCATTTGAAATAATGGGGGGGAACCAAACACATCTGGGAAGGGAATCAAATAATATTTGAATATACTTTTTTAATATTTGCTCTTTAATCCATCTG